TGGTGTCGAATCGTACGGTGTCGAATAAATCTGTGTCCAATAATTTGGTGTCGAATCGATCGGTGTCGAATCGTACTGTGGTCAAACGGAACACGCCCGTAATGGGCTATGGAGTAGAGATATGGGGATGGAAGGAAAGGGAAGAATTGGAAAGATTAGAGGAAAAGTACTTGAGATGGATATTAGGTGTAGAGGGGAGAACACCTTGGTATCTAGTAAGGGAGGAATTGTAAAGAGATAAATTAAGTTTAAGGGCGGGGAGGAGAGCTTGGGAGTACGAAAGAAGACTAAAAGAGGGAAAGGGTAGTGAAATAGCGAGGAAGTGCTGGGAAGAGTTGAGGGGAAGAGCAAAGAAGGGTTGTAAGCTATCGGATTGGGAAAGAGAGAGAAGAGAGTTTTTTGAAAAAAGGAGAACGGAGGAGATAGAATGGGAGAAAAGGATGGAGGAAATGGAAAAAGGAGAACTGTGGAATGGAGAGTGGGAAAAGGAAGAAAAGAACAGACAGATGGAGGAAAGGTGGGGGAGAATAAATGGATCTAAATATAATAGATGGTACAAAATGATGAAAGGGAAGGGGGTACCAGAATATCTGAAGAAAGGATGGATGGAGAAAAGATGGTCGAGAGTGGCGAGATTTAGGCTAGGAAATGAGGTTCATGAAAGGAAATATTGGGAAGAGGATGAAGGAAAATTATGTAGGTTGTGTGGTGGGGAAGTTGAGACGTGGGAGCACATTTGAGAGAGTTGCAGGCGGAGGAGAGATGGAGAGGAAAGTTGGCAAGTGGCCGTAGCATGGGTGTTAGGAGAGAGGGGGGAAGGAGAAAGGTGGATGAAGGAGTTGGAGAGAGAAAGGAGAGATCTGGACGAGTGTGAGATGGAGTGAGAATGTGTGAGAGGGAGAGGACGTGATGGGGATTGATAGATAGGTAAAGAATGGAATTGAAGAGCGAGAGGAAGCGGAAGCCCGGCGTAGAGATGGAGGTGTGTGTGTGTGTGTGTGTGAGGAGAGGGGTGATGGGAGGGCGCACGAGAAGTCGCATCATCCCGACAGCGTTGTAGCCGGATAAGGCTAAGTAGCGTAAGCACATGCAAAGGTAAACGAATGGAGTGTTGTAAGATATTGATGTAAAAGTTGTTGTAAAAGTTTTGGGTACGTTTCTTCAAAAAACGCCTTGTAAACCCGATTTGCCGGGAAACCATAAAACTACAACTACTATAAAGTAGATGTATTAACAAATAAAAGTGTATGTTTACATAGATTTATTTAGATATTTTTCGGATTTTCTCTCTCTGGCTCTGATCACAGACAAATACGCTTAACTCTTCAGCAACTGCCACAAATCATCTGGGTTTATAACTCACAAAAAACCAACTGGAGGGGCTTTAGGGCTGACCTTAAGACGCAGCTCGTTGAGGCCCCAACTAGTTTCAAGACCAAAAATAATTTGGAAAATGCGGCGGACTTTTTAAAGAACGCCATTGCAAATGCCTACGAGTTAAACTGCCTACCAAAACCAAGGAGCCCGGTGACCAAGATTCACTGGAACAAAAAGCTTGAAAAGCTCAGGTTGGAAACAAAGAGGAAATTCAGTAAGGCAAAAAGAACCAGACTTGCAGCACACTGGGAGGCTTTCAGAAGCTCCCAACGAGAGTACAGCAAGGAAATCAAGAAAGCAAAGTATAATAACTGGAAACACTTCTGTGAAAGCATTGAAAGTGCCCCAGAGGCATCCAGGCTTCACAGAATTTTCAGCTTAGATCACCGTCCTCAACTGGGCTGTCTTAAGCCTCCAACGGGGAATGTTACTGAAAAAGTGTCGGACACATTAAAACATTTAATGGAAGTCCACTTCTCAGGTTTTGACAATAACATACAACCCCGCCGGCCGAAGCCTAGGGTAAACCCAGGGAGTGGCGTCTGGCAGCTGAGGTTATCCATCCAAAGGGAGTTGAATGGGCTATTAAGATATTCAACCCA